GAAATAAGTAATACTTACAATTTGTTTGTAACTTATAGACACCCTAATAAAATATCAATTATCTCCATAATAAGGAATTCCTTGGTCACTGCAAAAAACCTGCAGACCAAGCTAATAGTACTATATAAAATAACCCCGCTGCAGCGAACCATCAGGCTAAGTGAATTCCAACTTGTCTGATTACATCTTCTATATAAATAAAATTACAGTTTTGTCTGTACATTGCTTAGAATCATGCAGTTTTTGGTTATTTTTACGTTTCATAGCCTAAGAAAGCCGAAACGAGTCTTATCTCAATTTCTGTCTGTATGTCTGTCTGTCCATTCTGTGACTCGGTCTGTAACGCCAATATGTCATTTTACGCGGCCTACTCCTAGAAAACTAGAGTACCGATCAAGGTTCTAATCATTTGTCTGTATTTACTGAATTGGTGAGAGTGTCTTAGGCTATAAAAACATGGCCTCGCTTCTTTGAAAACAAAATAACAAACCATCAAAAACCCAATTTTGTTCGATTTTTGTCAAGTTTTCTTCTAAAGTTTACTATTACATTTTATGAAATAACGAACAGCTGTTTGGATCAATTCTCACTTCTAGCTGTCACTGATATGTTTAATTGTTTACATTACATTTTGTTTACAAATACTGCAACATTTCTAATCACATTTTGTACGCAAATCGAAAACCATTCATTGAGGAACCAAGTACGTTAATTGACCTTTTGACTTGCATAACGGATTTAATCGATCGCAAGTACTATAATGTTAACTGTAAATTAAATTAATCATCCACATCCAGGTCAAGAACCTGCAGATTCTATGTCTATAAAATTCAACTTAAGTTTTGATAACCAGGGAAAATACAGCAAATCAGTGTTGTATAAGACTGGGAAACTTAAATTTTTAAATAATCGCTACTAATAGCCTACAATCGAGATTTCCACTCATTAAAGGCGTTTCGATCGCTGTTCTATTAAGTAAATAATTACTACAGTACTGCAGTGGATGATCGAGGGTGTTGCTGCGACCCCGGAAGACCTTTATGATTTCGTTGTCAACGTTACAGTGTTTTTTCCAGCTAATCTCACTTTTCCAATATGTCACTTATCACCGCTATTGCGCTGCCTTCATTAGACCATTCCATCAATAGACCTATGAGCCATCTTCTATTGGTGCGTAGGTCTACCCAATCCTTTAATATAAAATCAAACTATCATAACCATACCAACCAAACTTGCTGATAATATAAAAAAGATATTAGATAATAATCGAATTATGGACTATAAATGGCTCAAACTCTAAGAGAACATGTACAGTACAGTTAAGAAGTAAGTTAATCGCATTCTAAGCAAAACCTTTGACAAAAAGTTAGTGTCACCGGTGGGATTCGACCTGGACACCTCTTGAAAAACAGTCGAGTACGCTATCCATTACACCACGACATGACCACGACCACCGATGGGTTCATTTTGTATCGTTGCTGCAAAAAACAGCCTAGGGTAATATATATACACTAATATTGAAGCAGAAACGGTATGTATCATAACCAAAACACACTATATTTTTAAACATTACTTAAAGAGTGAATACTTTAAACAATATTTTAATATTATCTTATCTTACTAATATTATAAATGTGAAAGTTTGTGTGTTTGTTTGTTTGTTTGTTTGTTTGTTTGAAGTTCAATCACGCATAAACCACTTGACGGATTGGGCTGAAATTTGGCATGATGATAGCTTACATTCCCGATTAACATATAGGCATATTCTTATCTCAAAAATCCTTTCGGGCTCCGCCCCAGTGGCTCTGTAATTCCCCATGTTAACCTTATGAGTATTCATATTTAAAAGGAATTAAAGAATTTAGTCAGCTGTTTCAACTGAAAAAGTTGGTTCTATGATATGGAAAAGCATTAAAAAGTTATAAGATTTACCAACAGGGTACAGCACTATATTTTTTTTGTATTTATGAAAACAGCTAATTTGAACTAAGCAGCAACAAAAAACTGTGATTCCCAATGAGAACTGTCAAAGTAGGATTGTTTACTGTTATGTTTATGTTTTTCATTTCATGAATAATTTGTGATATTTTGCGAATTGTTGATAATTTATTTTTCTCTATTGTTTAGGTGAAGTGGTAGAACATTATGGCCATGGTAGGATGTGTAATACTATAGAATACTGTAAATTTAAAAAAGCAAATTTTATCAAACTGTGTCCTCCCTTATTGCAAACGCAAAGCTTGAGTATAACTGCAATAATCATTTTATACTTATATTCCAACCCCGTACGAAGGACGGGTACTCTGCTAGTTATCATATAATTTTGCTTACGTTTATGATCCATACCGTTTCTGATCTAATTCGTGGATAACATTTGTTTTTTACAACAGATGTTTTTTTTTTAATTTATATTGTAGTGTCAAGATTTGTTTACATTTCACGTCAGCATGATTTGATTCCAGTTGCGTCATTTGTTTTTTAATGATGCATACAGTTTCTGTTTTAATATTCGTGGATCACATATGTTTTTTCTAGAACAGATGTTTTTTTTATTATTTATATTGTAGTGACAAGATTTGTTTACATTCCACATTCGAATGACTTGATTGAATTGTTTCAATTAAGTTTTTTCAATATTCAATTTTTTTAAGTGATTGTTTTCATTTCACAACATAATGATTTAGTCTTTTTACATAAATTTATTTTGTTTGTGCAAATGCCACGTAAGGAAAGATGTACGGTAGTTTAGGAAGACTCTCTCAGGATTCAAAAAGGAGAAGAAAGTCTCAGAGTGTAGAAGTTAATCAACCTTCCACCAGCTTTCAACCTTCAACCAGCTCTCAACCTTCCACCAGCTCTCAACCTTCCGCCAGTTTTCAACCTTCCATCACATCCCGAGATGAGACATTTTCCGAAAACTTTACACCTTCCACAAGTCAACAGCGGGTGGCTCGCTTCAGAGTAAAACAAACTGATGCAGATCGAGAACAGCGGTTGGCTCGAGATAGAGAGAGTCACAAACTCTCTCGAACAACTCAATCCCAAGAGGAGAGGGATATCCGTCGGAGAACAGACAATTTACGTCATTACCGAGCAAAACAAAATGAAACTACTCAAATCAGAAAGAACCGACTAGAGAAAAAACGAAATCTTCAAAAGAAAAAAAAGGCGGATGGAGATCACCTATGTTCGGGAAGCAAGGAAAGAAAAAGACAGATTGTGGCACAACTTAAATAAAGAAAATAAGACTGAAGAAGAGATTGAGGTAAGGCAATTTGAGAGTTTATTGTCTATTCTGATCTGCCGAATTGGGCCTTAAGTCCGCTCCTAGACCAGAACAGGGTTAACAGTTTTATATTACTGCAGTTTTGTTAGCCTGCACAAATGAAAAATTTTGAAGATTTTAAGACTAACTATTTCATCAATATAAAACAAATACTTCTTACTTCGATATAATTATAGTATATTTATTATAGATTAGACCCTACGTTATACTAACATTACTCTCTGTATGCTAAAAAGGATGTGTTTTCAGGGATAATTTAATCTTTACAATACATTCCACAAACATAACTTATATTTATTTAGGCAAGAAGAGGAGTTGACAGAGTGCGAAAAAAACTCAATAGAGCGAATGAAACTGAAGAGGAGCGTGAGGTGAGGCGATTCCAAAATTTATAATATATACCTACTGAACCCCTGCTTGGACCTAAAAACCACTCTCACGCCAAAATCGGTTCAACTATTTTACATAGTTTCACAAGATAACACATTTTTTAGATTTTATGAGATAAATCTATATAAATAAAATTAGAGTTTTGTCTTTACATTGCTCAGAATCATATTACATAAAAAAGAAAATTTTTTCAATGTGTTTTAGTTTTAGGCCTACTACCAACTCTTTCAACGCGTCAAAAAGAACACTTTTCCAAGGGTAATTTATACGGATTGTTTTATGTTACAGACATACATAATATTTATTCATTTGTTTATTTAGGCTAGACGTAAAGAGGACAGAGTGCGACAAACATTGAATAGAGAAAACGAAACTGAAGAGGAGCGTGAGGTGAGACAGTTGGACAATTTATTTATCCTGACACTAGCATAGACCTTAAGTTTACCTTACGCCTGGACAGTTCAAACTATTTTACGATAGAGATTTTAACTCTAAATATAACATCAAAATATGTAGGCTGTAAATTTATATGTGAACTATTTTACATAGTTTAAAGTTAAAAAAAATTATAAATATTGGATATGTTACGACTGTAAAAACCTAATGCTACAAAAAAACTAATATTTTTCAGTGTTTTTCAGTTTCAGTCATACTACAATTTCTTTCAACACGTTAAAAGAACGCTTTTCCAAGGGTAATTTTCACAAATTCTTATTCGTTACAGATATAGATCATATTTATGTAGGCCTATTTATTTTTTAGGCTAGAAGAGAAGATGGCAGAGTGCGACAAAGATTGAATAGAGAAAACGAGACTGAAGAGGAGCGTGAGGTGAGTCATTATATAACATCTTATTTACTAACCCTGGCCTGGCTTGGGCTGAGGGGGTCACTTATTACCTGGTCAAAAGTATTATACGGTTACACAAAATGACAAAAGTTTAAGATTTTAGACTATTTATTAAATCAAATCAGTTTTACATTACTAGAAATGTTCAAACTTTAGAACGCTTTACAATATAGAAATATCTGTTTTTACACATTTAATTTTGAAAAACTTACCCTTCAATGACAGTTTTTACATTTTATATAATCATAGATTTAACTTTTATTTATATAGATATCAGGCGAAGAGACAAGACGACAGAGCGCGGCAAGACAAGAGACGACAGGTTGAAATTGCGGAGCAGCAGGAAGATCGCCATTTATCTGATAACGAGAGATACCGAATGCGTGTACATGAACGCAATTTGATGTTAAATAGTTCATCCGATCGTATTCAGTTTCACAGGACCAATCAACACCAGGATGAAATAAATACCCGAATGGCTGCAGACGCTGAAAGACATCGTATAACACGGCAACTTGAGACTGCCCGAGGGAGAAGTCACAGGCTTGAACAAGAGAGGACACGACACGCACACAGAAACCTTATATACTGGCAAAACCAACACAACAGTGGATTCCTGTATGACCCGCATATAAACTATAGTCAAGCTGCAAATATTGGAGAATTCAATAAAGCTTGCAGATTTTGTAATGCGTTGACATGGGAAAAAGAACCACCTGGAATATGCTGTGCTTCAGGTAAAGTGTCCATTGCGCCTATTTTAGAGGCACCCGAGCCTCTCCGGTCTCTTATATCAGAAAATTCCCCTCAATCAAGAAACTTTCTTAGAAATATCAGAGCTTACAACAGTGCCTTCCAGATGACATCCTTCGGAGGCAATGAGATCCGGGAAGGAGCCTATATGCCAACATTCAAGATACAGAGACAAATTTATCACCTGATTGGGTCTCTTTTACCACCACCTGGCCAGCCACCATCTTTCTTACAAATATATTTTGTAGGAAATGACCAGGATCAACTTGAAAGAAGGCGAAATTTGTTTCAAGACCTTGAACCTGATGTATTAGCTGAATTGCAGACCATGCTGAAAAGCAATAACTCATACTTACTAAGTTTTAAATCTGCGCTAGAAACATTGCCTCTAGACTTACCTGATTTGAAAATTGTTATTAGGGCTGACAGATGTCCTGCAGGAGAACACCCAGGCAGATATAACGATCCAACGGTCAGTGAGGTTGCTGTGTTGGTGGTTGGGGACCCCAGTGATAATCGTGATATCATCTTGAACTCAAGAGAAGATGGTTTGAAGCGAATCTACGAAACTCACCGTTCATATGATGCCCTACAGTACCCACTTATGTTTTGCAGAGGTGAGGATGGTTATAGTTTCGACTTGAAACATGTAGATCCAAATACTAGAGAGCCAACCAACAAGAAAACAAGCTCCTGGGAGTTTTATGCGTATCGCATAATGGAAAACGACGCGAATCATATTCACCACTTTAAACAGCTTTTAAACCAGTACTTAGTAGACATGTATGAAAAGGTGGAGAGTGAAAGGCTACTATATGTCCGAACCCATCAAAAAGAGTTAAGAGCAGAAAATTACATACACCTCCAAGATGCTCTTATACGAGATGACAACGTAGAGCAAATGGGACGAAAAGTAATTTTACCATCTACATTCACTGGAGGACCAAGGTATATGCATTCAAGAACTCAAGATGCTTTCTGTTATGTTCGAAAGTTTGGGCGTCCTGACTTATTTATTACAATGACAACCAACCCAAAGTGGCTAGAAATAACCAATGTGATTACAGAAATGCAAACTGCTCAGGACCGATATGATATTGTTTCCCGGGTTTTCCACCTCAAACTGCAAAGCCTCATGACGGTTCTAACTAGAGGTCAGTTATATGGCTCAGTACGATGCTACATGTACTCGGTGTAATGGCAGAAGCGTGGCCTTCCTCATGCACATATTCTTATTTGGTTAGAAGAGCCTATTCCTCCTAACAGAGTTGATCAATTATTTCCGCAGGGTTGCCAAACCCTGAGGATGATCCTATACTTTCTGATATAGTTAAGACTCACATGCTACATGGCCCGTGCGGAGCTTTTAACGTAAGGCAACGGAGACTTCCCTGTATGAAAGAAGGCCACTGCAGCAAAAGGTACCCTAGGCCGTTTGTTAAGGAAACAACTATGGCAGACAATGGATATCCCACATACAGAAGACGCGCTCCAGAGGATGGGGGTCAACAAGTTCTTATTAAAGTTGGGAACGAAGACATTGCAATGGATAATAGATGGGTTGTACCGTACTCTCCTGTATTGTCTCGAATGTTTGAAACGCACATCAACGTTGAATATTGTAGCAGTGTAAAGTCAATCAAATACATCTGCAAATACATCAATAAGGGCACTGATCAAGCTACATTTTCCATGGTTGACACAGATGAAATTCAAACATACCAGAGTGGTAGGTACATTTGTTCGTCTGAGGCAGTATGGAGGTTGTTGTCATTCCCTATTCATGAGAGATACCCTTCTGTAATGCACTTGGAAGTTCACCTACCCGATGAACAAAACGTTTATTTTCAACCAAATAACGTGAGAGACAGAATGGAACAAGATACTACTCTCATTGCATTCTTCAACCTTTGTCAGACTGATGCTTTTGCCAGGACTTTACTCTACAACGAAGTTCCCTCCTACTATACGTACACGAAACAAAGAGGTTGGAGTAGGAGACGAAGAGGAACACCAGTGCCAGGACATCCTGATGTAAGACAGGACTCTTGCATAGGAAGAGTGTATACTGTCCATCCTAACAGCAGCGAGCGATACTATCTTCGACTGCTTCTGCACACCGTTCGAGGTCCCACATCTTTTGATGACCTTAAGACCGTTGATGGTGAATTGCAAGAAACCTTTCAGTCTGCCTGCAGAGCTCTCGGTCTTTCAGAGGACGATGTATGTTGGGAAGCAACAATGAGAGAGGCAGCCGTCGCAGACAGTCCTTCCAAGCTGAGAGACCGTTCGAGGTCCCACATCTTTTGATGACCTTAAGACCGTTGATGGTGCAAGAAACCTTTCAGTCTGCCTGCAGAGCTCTCGGTCTTTCAGAGGACGATGTATGTTGGGAAGCAACAATGAGAGAGGCAGCCGTCGCAGACAGTCCTTCCAAGCTGAGAGACCTTTTCAGTGTGCTGGTAGTTTTTTGTAACTTGAGTCATCCCCTCGAACTATGGACGTTGTTCAAAGACTCTATGTCGGAGGACTTCTTAAGGACTGCTCAACAGGTGGATGAAAATATAACATTTCAAAACAGTCCTAACCTTTATGATCTGTGCCTGTCAAAGATACAGGAAATTATCACATACATCGGAGGACTTCAGCTAGATAGCTATGGACTTCCTGTTCCGGCCACGGCAAACAACCATTTTAACTTTGATTATCTAAAGGAGACCTGTTATGATCGAGTTGAACTGAACGAATTTGTCACACAGAAATTACCACAACTCACAGAGGATCAACGAATTGTTTATGATCGTGTCATCTACAGTACAGAGAATCCAACGGACAACAATATGTTTTTCCTTGATGCACCTGGAGGAACAGGGAAAACATTCTTAATAAATATAGGGTGATTACCGAGAAACGCATGTTTTTCAAATAACGAGTACTCAGGTAATTCAGAGCAAAAAATGTATTTATGAGTGGAAAAACAGTGTACACAATATGCAATTTCAGAATAAAATTACTTGCAATTTAGCATTTAAAAATTACATTTCAAACGTGGTGGTTAGAGAACATTGATAATTTTACGGGTCGCCTTCTACTTTGATACAGCGTTGAAGGCGTTCCTTAAAACTTTCTACGGAATTTGCTAACATATCTCTAGGAATGGCGTTGATTTCCTGGCGAATAGCTTCTTTAAGTTCCTGTATTGTTTTTGGTTTGTTTATGTAAACTCTAGATTAAAAAAATCCCCATAGAATGAAATCTGGAATTTTAAGACCTGGTGAGCGCTCGGCCAAGTGACACCACCAAAACGTGGGATAACTCTTTTAGGTAATGTTCGCCGAAGGAATTCCATTCTAATGTGAGCTGTATGGACTGTTGCCCCATCCTGTTGGAACCATACGTCATAACGTATCTCGACACGTTGTGTACCTTCCAACATGTCTAGGTACCGTTGTGGATTCACTGTCACTGCTCTGCCGTCGCGGCTAGGACTCTGAGCTGTTGCAAGGCGCACTCTTTCAACTGTCTCAGGGGTACTAACTGTCCTTGCCAGTCCAGGAGGTTTTCTCTTAAGCAGAGATCTAATTGAGTTTTAAATTATGTATCCAACGCAATATCGTGTTACGATCAGGGGTAGAGCCATACCGTGCAATGTTAAAATGTGTATGAAAGTCTCGCTGAGTCTGAGTGACTGATTCACCATTTGCGTAATATCGTCGCATGACAAACATACGATGCTCAAGGTCCCACATCTTGGCAAAAATTGTAACTGCACACTTCCCCCTACACATCGCAACAACTTCCGGCCGTCGCCGAACGATATTCCTTATGTAGTACGAAAGTCAAAAACATGCGTTTCCCAGTAATCACCCTGTATAATTTTAGCTAAGGTTAGAAGTGTTAGCAAAATTGCCTTGGCTACGGCGTCCTCAGGTATTGCAGCTACCCTTCTACCTGGTGGAAGAACGGCCCATTCTACGTTCAAAATTCCCATTAATGTTGACCATATGGAATTCCCGATATGTGCAATTTCAAGAAACTCCTCTATGGCCCAATTACTGAGAGAATGTTCACTCGTAGTCTGGGATGAATGCACGATGGCCAATAATTGTCAGTCGAAGCTTTGGATAGAACATTGAGAGATATAAGAGAGAGTAATAACACAATGGGGGGAGTAACAGTTTTGTTCTCCGGAGATTTCAGACAAACTCTGCCTGTTGTCGTGCGGGGAACACGTGCTGACGAAGTAAATGCTTCTCTGAAGAGATCCAAGCTGTGGCCGACTGTAAATCGTCTTTCATTAACTACGAATATGAGAGTTAATTTAGGGAATGAACCAGATTTGGAGGAATTCGCCAGTGTTCTTTTACATGTTGGGAATGGGTCACTGATAAATGAAAGTGGAGTCATTGTCATTCCTCCGTCTCTGGGCACCATAGTCACATCTCAACAAAACCTCATCGACAGTGTCTATCCAGGAATTGAAGGTATATTAAATATGGACAGTGGCTGGCTCTGTAACAAAGCAATCTTGGCGCCAACAAACGAACAGGCCAACGAATTGAACATCAAGGTGATGTCTCTTTTCACCAGCAAAGAACAGACGTATACATCTGTTAACACGGTTCTCAGCCAGGACGACGCCGTCCACTACCCTACTGAGTTCCTAGACTCTGTCACAGCCCCTGGATTGCCGGCTCACGAGCTAACACTTAAAGTTGGAGCCCCAATAATGCTATTGCGTAATTTACATCCACCGAAGCTGTGTAATGGGACTCGCCTTCGTGTTCGTCGGCTACACAGATATGTCATCGAGGCAGACATCCTGACAGGATGTGGAGCTGGGGAGGTGGTATTTATCCCCCGAATACCATTAATCCCCAGCAACTACCCATTCGAATTTAAGCGCCTACAGTTTCCCGTCTCTGTATGCTTTGCTATGACCATCAACAAAGCTCAGGGTCAGACACTGTCGACAGCTGGCGTTGAATTAAATAAATCAGGATGTTTTTCTCATGGACAGCTATATGTTGCATGTTCTAGAGTGCGATCATCGAGAAATTTATTCCTCCATGCTCCAAATGGTCGAACGGCCAACGTTGTTTACGAAGAAGCTTTTCGTTAACAAGGGTCAGATCATAACTGTTCCAGTGTTTATTTTTATATGTCATTTCCCACTGTTATTTATTATTTGTTATTATTTGTCATTAGGTATTTATCATTTGTTCTATTACCTACCATTCAAAAATTGCCAGATGTAAATCTTTCTTTGTCTTCCTGTGAATGTTTTAAAATCACTCTGGAAAGTCATCATTCAACATAATCAAATTTCAATTGACATTTTCCACTGACGAGATACTACAAGATAAAGTTTTAATCGAGCACCAATATGTATGCTATTTTGTTATAGGTTTGATTGCATTATTCATTGTCATAAAGTAAAAAATATGGGTAAGATAATCAGATGACTAGCACTATTTTTTATATAGTTTTTCGATTGTTAAATGTCTCCTATTTTATTAAATATGATATTAAAATATGATATTAAATTTAAATCAATTAAATTTTTTATATGCTTACATTATTTTATAAGATATTTTTAACTGATAAGATTTTTTGTTATTAATAGGTAAAGTTTCTCATCTCCAATTTCTCTTTCCATGCAAAGCACGGGTACAGCAGCTATAGGGTATAAATGTGATATTTTAAAGGGACATTTTAATGTAAATCCAACCAGGCAAATGGAAATTTGCTAAGTCTGCAGGTTTGCTGCGGGGGGGGTTTTTTATGTGTAGTGGTAGAACACTATGAATGTGAATTTTCTCAAACCGTGTCCTCTCCCATTGCAAATGCAAAGCACGAGTATAACTGCAATAAGCATTTTTATAATTAATACGACAACCCCGTACGAAGGACGGGTACTCTGCTAGTCTTTACTAAAATACTAGATGTGTGCCCGTTCTACGCAAGGGGATCTTATAGTAGTCAGTCGAAACCTTCTTCTTCTTCTTATATTAAGAACAGCAGTTGGTTTGCATATTTTCAGATATGCTGGCAAAACTATTGTAGGAACCTTCGCAAATACATTATCTGACAGTTTCAAGCCAAAACAAATGCTTCGCAATTAAATGTCACCCGGATCGTGTTGGTCGATATGTTAAAATCCAATTATTAAGCTAAAAACTGCTTTATAGATCTATGAGACATAGCCCTAAGGTAGGCCTATAATTGAAAGTTACTTTCCACAATGGTTACTTTAAACAAAGGTTACAAAAGTTACTTTAAACAATTCATGATGGTTTGCTGAATAAATGTTTTACTAAAATGCGTTATCGTTTTCTTAGCATAAACGAACATTTTGGAATCCAAACAGAAAAAGCAAAACTTATACAGTTAAGACATCAATTAAATTGAATACACCTGTAATAAATAAGGTGCAACACCAACGATAACTAATTTGTAAATTACAGTGATGAGTTGGTACGTAAAAATGATTCTTGCTGCTACCAACGGTTTTAAGGAAAAAAGTACCGGTATCAAGGATCGTTGTCGAAAAGGTTGTTGTGAATAATTGGGTAGGCGTACGTACCCAAGAGATGGGCTATGGGCCTATTGGCTGTATGGTCCAGCGATTGCATCACACGGTGAGTAGGAACTATTGACTATATATATAGCCAATGGTAGGAACAGAAAGTGACACATTGGAAAAGCGAGTTTAGCATCATCCGTAAACCTCTGTTACAATCACCCACTGCAGTTGTGATTTTTTACTTTACACTTTACACAACCGCCATTGAAGCGCCGTCAATGAGTGTAAACTTTGTTTCTAAGCTATTGGCGACGATCATTATGAAATTTAAGTTTCCCAGCCGTATACAACACTGATTCAAGGTCTTCTTTCTGGTTATCAAAACTCAAGAACAATTTTATACACAAAGAATCTCTGGTACCTGACCTGGATGATGCCTAGTTATTTAATTTCATTTACGGTTACACTATTACACTATATCTTTGTACTTGCGATTAATCAAATCCGTTATGTAAGAAAAACGTTTTTAATCTCACTTGGTTGGGATTTGCTTTCAAAACGTGATCGAATATGGTTGTGGTATTTGTAAAAAACATTTGTAAACATATCAGTGACAGCTAGAAAAAATAATCTTGATCCGAACAGCTGTTCGTTATTTCATAGATGATTATGTGATAAAGATTGGACGAAAACTTGACAAAAATCCCCAAATGTGCATTTTTGAACGTCCGTAATTTTATTTACAAAGTAGTGAGGCCATTTTTTAATGGCTAAAGACACTCTCCCCAATCCAGTGAATACATTAAAATGACTTGGATCTTGATAGGTACTCTCTTTTTTCTGGAGAAGATAGCGTAAAATGCCATCTTGAGTGTTACAGGCAGACAGAAAGTCAGACAGACAGACAGACAGAAATAGAGATAAGACTCGTTTCTGCTTCTTTAATGTATAAAACGTAAAAATAACCTAAAAATATATAATTCTGAGCAATGTACACACAAAACTCTAATTTTATTTATATAGATTTCCATAAATAAGACAAATTTATTCCCAACTAGCTGTGTGCCCGTTCTACGCACGGGGATCTTATCATAGTCAGTTAAAACCTTCTTATATAAAGCACAGCAGTTGGTTTGCATACTTTCAGATATGCTGACAAAACTATTCCTTCGCAAATACAGTATCTGACAGTTTCAAGCCAAAACTAATGCTTCGGAATTAAATGTCACCCGGATCTTGTTGGTCCATATGTTATATCCAATGATTAAACTAAATAAACGGTATCAGCATTCTGACACATACTTTCTCCCATAAGTTTGTCAACAACCTTTATCATGTGTAAGCTGTGAGAGTAAAAATACGGAAATGGGATTTGTACAATTTTGTTCAGAATTTAAAGGACTAGGCTATAACATAATGGTTAAAAGTATTTAAGGTACTACCTCAACCTCTTAATTTAACACTTTATTCGGGTTGACATTTTCATTATCAAGGCGCTCTTGTCCTTTCCGTGAAACATTGAGAAACAAGGACATTAATGCGTTACCATCATACATACACACAAAAATACCGAACTTAATTAGGGAATCTGCTACGCTTTAAGCATAAAAAGTACATATAAAATTAGTACTTGAAATCTTTGTTAATACCATAAAATTTGATCATAACAATTTATATTTGCTTGGACCGGAGATGACTCGAAATTCTGTCGAAATGCTATCTGAATCGGTTTGCTATATGAAATGAAGCACAGTAGGCCTACTATAGACGATTTAGATTGGTAATTTGTAATAAAAATTACCAAAATAGGCCACGAACTATTGATACATAAACAACGTTCAAAGTGTTTGAACAATTCATGATGGTTTGCTGAATAAATGTTTTACTAAAATGCGTTATAGTTTTCTTAGCATAACATTTTGGAATCCAGACAGAAAAAGCAAAAATTATACAGTTAAGACATCAATTAAATTGAATAGGCCTACGCCTGTAAGAAATAAGGTGCAACACCAACGATAACTAATTTGTAAATTACTGTGATGTGTTGGTACGTAAAAGTGATTCTTGCTGCTACTAAAGGTTAAAAGGAAAAGAACCAGTACCGTACCAAAAACCAACGTTTACAGTTAAGAACTGTAATACAGTCGACCAATTATATGCGTTAATCAAGGTTATTGATCTCTTGGTTTTGGATTTTCTCGTAAAAAGTTATCGGCAATCAAAGTTATTTCCCATTAATTGCTTTGTTTGTACACAACTCTTAATGTAAACTTATCGGTGTCAGTTTGAAAAAAAAAAAACAACCTTATACAACATAACTTTCTGTTATTTAATAGATTACGTATTCTCTAAACAATGGTTGCTGGTATATATATTAACATTATAAGGAAATGTGACAAAAATCACACAACGTTGGGTTTTTGGACGTTTATAATTTTATTTCTTAAGTACCTAGGTAGGCCGTGTATTCTATGGAAAAGTACTGGTATCAAGGATCGTTGTCGAAAGGGTTGTTATAAATAATTGGGTAAGCATACGTACCACACGTACCCAAGAGAAGGGCTATGGGCCTATTGGCTGTATGGTCCAGCGATTGCATCACACGGTGACTAGGAACTATTGACTTTATACAGTATAGTCAATGGTAGGAACAGAAAGTGACACATTGGAAAATCGAGTTCAGCATCATCCGTAAACCTCTGTTACAATCACCCACTGCAGTTGTAATTTTATGCTTTACACTTTACACAACCGCCATTGAAGAGCCGTCAATGAGTGGAACATTATTTCTAAGCTATTGGCGACGGTCATTAGTAAATTTAAGTTTCCCAGCCGTATACAACACTGATTCAATCTTGATTCAATGTCTTCTTTCTGGTTATCAAAACTCCAAAACAATTTTATACACATATTTCTGGTTCCTGACCTGGATGATGTCTAGTTATTTAATTTACGGTTACACTATATTATTCCACTTGCGATTAATTAAATCCTTTATGTAATAAAAACGTTTTTAATCTCACTTGGATGGGATTTGTCTTCAAAACGTGATCGGAAATGGTTGTGGTGTTTGTAAACAACATTTGTAAACATTTCAGTGACAGCTAGAAAAAATAATCTTGCTCCGAACAGCTGTTCGTTGTTTCATAGATGATTATGTGATACAAATTGGTAGAAAACTTGACAAAAATCGCACAAAACTGCATTTTTGAACGTCCGTAATTTTAATTACAAAGTAGTGAGACCATATTTTAATGGCTAAAGACACTCTCGCCAATCCAGTGAATACATTAAAATGACTTGGGTCTTGATAGGTACTCTCGTTTTCCTGGAGAAGATTGCGTAAAATGCCATCTTGAGTGTGTCAGACAGACAGACAGACAGACAGACAGAAATTTAGATGAGACTTGTTTCGGCTTCTTTAATGTATAAAACGTAAAAATAACCTAAAAATGTATGATTCTGAGCAATGTACAGACAAAACTCTAATTTTATTTATATAGATTTAAATAACATCAGATTTAATTAGTGGTTAGGTTTGCTGCTACGGGGAAGGTATAAAGTGTTTTTTTTTTACTAAACGATAATGGCATAGG